AACAAAATCAGTGCCTTATGAATGTAGAATTACATATATTATATAATTTGAATAATACATGAATCCTGGGAAACTATCAAGGCCAGTATTTTAATCCTTTTTTTATAGATAATTAATTCTCCACTTACATATATGATAAAGAGAAAGACTTGTTCAAAATTACACTGATAGGAAGCAGCAAAAATGGTCTTTTAACAATAAAATGCTATCTGCAATTATGTAAGTATGAACCTCTAGATCTAGGGGCATAAAATAAAAACAAACCCCTTTCTAAACATGTTCTATTACCACACTCACTAAGAGAAGTACATTAAAAATGGCAGGGACTTTGGAAGTAGATTTGTATTTGTATTTCAACTCTGTTATTTACTGGTTTATGACCTTTGACATTTAGATTAGGGGGCAAGATATAAACTATACAGAGTTTAAGAAGTTAAATGAAGACTATATGTCAAGTGCTCACATGAATTAATGTACAAGGGAGGTTCTAATCTTGGCCACTGTTAAAAAGTGCTCACATGAATTAATGTACAAGGGAGGTTCTAATCTTGGCCACTGTTAAAATTTCCTCTTCCCTTTTAGCCAGCAAGAACATCAGATCCTAGTATCTAGCATGGCTCCATCAAAAAGGTCTCTGGAGACGGAGCCCCATAGGGTTCTACACCTCAGTACAAGTTGAGGCTTCTGAGCTAGGCAAAGAGCTTAAGTTACTTGCTCAAGTTGTCTTTACGAAAAAAAAGTTCAATTTCCCCTCCTTGTCCCACCTTCCCTTTAACTTGTGGTAAAAGATACAGCTAAGGAAACAATTATTTTTTAAAGGAGTAATAAAGACAAGCAGATAAAGAAGTGAGAGAGTGAATAATTATTTGGCAATAGGGTCCAGCTGACAAAGGATGGTTCACTGAAGTAACAGGAAAACAGAGTCCAGAGGAAAGAAAAAAAATCTAATTAATCTCCTGAATCCTAGACAAAAGGCATACAGAAAAGTAGAGACTCATCCTATGAAGACAGAGGATCTTAACAGCAGTTTATTGCAGAATCCAATTAACCCTAAAATTCTGCAAGAAAGCCTTGTTTTGGGAAAGGCAAAAGACAGAATGACTTGTTTCCCCATGGAAAGAAATTGCAATCATCTCTTCAATTATAATAAGAGAAATGACTATTTTACTAGGAATCTTGAACATACTCAATACCAAAGAAAAAAGTAAATTCAAGAAGTTTAACTGAGGAAATACCCAGGAACCTCACTAAAAGAATAAGAAGGATTATCTCTTTTATCCCTTAACATTTACCTTAGTACTAGGCAAGAAGGGTCTGAAAATGCTAAAGAAGCTAAGTAAGGAGAGGAAACTAAAGATTAAAGGTTCGAATGGGTTTTTTAGTGATTCTAGAGATAAGAAACATATGCTTCTCCCTTAGGTCATGTCTCCCAAAATAGCTTCTCAAGAATACCAAATGGCATAACAGAGATATACCTACCAGCTGTCAGGGATGTCTCAAATCCATCTTTAATGAAACAGCTGAGACTCTACTTCTTCATATAACTTTGAACTGCTACAAGTGTAAAGGGTACTATTTCTTACACTGGGAAGAAGGGCAGGAAAGAACAATAGGCAAATTAATGAATTATATATGGTTCCAATTTCAAGTTAGTCGTTTGTTTCAAGTGGAATGTTCTACTTTGATTGAAACCATTAGTACCCAATAACAAAAGAACTTGAGTTTAAATATTCATAATCACAACTAGGATACAATCTCTCTCATATAATAACCACTTATAAATAACAAAAATCATATTTAAACTAACAAATTATGTTCTTCACAAGGAAATGTAAGAATTCTAATTCATTAGTATGCTATTGTTCTGCCCAACTACAGACAAGTTACCTACAAATGCCTAACAAAGTCAAGTAAGACCAAAACTCCGAAGTATTATTTTTTTAAGAAAAATTTAGATAACTCTTCTAAATATCTGTAATCTATATCTCTTATGCTAACCTAAATCTATAATATTAATGTTAAAATAAATATCATCAACCTGTTAGGCAGCAACAAGGAAAATAAAAGAACTATTGGACATACCCTATGCAATATTTCTAAAACCTTTAATGCAGTATGAAGAAAATTGTTGAAAATTCTTCTTTCAGAAGGGGGAATGCCGATCTTGTAGAGTTTCAAAAGATGTACCACAACTTCCTTAAAAAGTTCTACAATCTTGAGGAATAGTGGAGGTTCAAGTACTGACCACCAGTTTTCTGTTATTAAAGGGTGAACATACAAATAAAATGAATTTTTTTTTTTAATCACAGTTTTCAAAATCATACAAGACTTTTCTTCTAAAAGCAGTAGTCTTAACCCTTTCAAAATCCCAGGAAGATCCATATAACACAGTATTTTATGTAACATTTCTAGGGTTTACAGACACCATCCTTCTCTCAAGTTAAAGAATGCTGTTCTAAAAGCTCTCAGAGGCAAAAATAAAGAAAGGTCTACTGAATTTATTTCTTGGCTTCCTACATTATGTTAAAAACTCACTACTATATCTAACATTAAATCGGTTACTAAAAAGTGCTTTGGGGGTGGGGTAGCTCACCTGGCTAGCTCAACAGGAAGAGCATGTGACTCTTGATCTCAGGGTCAGGAGTTTGAGAACCATGTTGGATGTACAGATTACTAAAAACAATAAACTTAAAAAAAACCACACCACATCTTTTTTTTAAAAAAAGTGCTTTGAAAATTAGAATTTTAATTTTTAAAGATTCTAAAATCCCAATATTTAGGGATCTTTCCAAGTTATATCTTTCAACTTAACATAAAGTTGAAATATTGTGAAGTACCACCTTTAAAATGCAAGGTAATCCTAAAAATTGGATACTGAGAACAATGTAAAGTATTAACATGTCTGTTCTTCCCCACAATCACTATTTGTTTGTAGTTATTAACTACAAATACCATAATCTTATGAAGCAGGCAGAAATACGAAAACTTTGACAACATGGAAGCAATACTCTGTGAGTCCCTGCTTCACTCTTATTCACTTAATTATCTCAGAATTGAGGATTCTACTCTTTGCTTACTACTTCTCTCTGCTCACTCTCAGCCTAAAACTTTTTGTACTGATTTTATGACTTCTATATATCTTAGCTTCACAAACCTATAAATTCTATCAGGAACCCATTCTATTGGGTTAAATGTAGCAAACAAACTATAATGGCCAGGAGACAGAGATGAAATCCATACAAATTGAAAAATTAAAGTGAGAAAAGTTTAGGCCAAAAAATTACAGTAGACAGAGACAGAACAATAAAATCAGATTAGTGGTAGAATCTCTTCTACATGGAGAGAAATAATATCAAACAGGGGAAATTAGCAAGTGAGAGATATACAAGGCAAAGAGTTAACAAGAGTTCATAAGAGGATTTAATACCCATGTTTGTTCAGTTTTAATTGTTCCTCCACCTTTACTTCTTTAATAAGCAAGACCAAGGGGATGAGGGAGGGGAATACAGAAAATAGTTGTTATCTTTCCTGATATGGTCTCTGCTGTTGTGTTTGATTAAAATTTTAATATTTAACATGCTTTGCCTCTAACAACCAGCATGACTAGAAAAAAGCAATAAAAGAAAAACAGGTTTATTCTTCTGTAAGATACTGTCAAATAAGCAGGGTAGCAAAATTTCAGACAGCAAAAAAAATTAAAAACTTATTAGCATTTTCATTTAAAGAGAAAAAGTTACGAAAGAAAAAAAGACTAAAATTCTTACCAAGTACTTTCAATGGTGCCTTTTCTAGGTTCACAAGAGCTGTACCAAAGGGAATTGCTATTGTTGTGAAACTGTTGGAATCACTCATCAGGGGGCATTCTGGTAGAGTAAGATAAAACCTCAATGCTTCAACATCAGGTAAGGAGCTAGTCAGTTTAGGAATAAGATTCTTTTCCAAACTAGCTGCCACCTATATTTTGACAAAAAGTAAAACCTACTTTATTTAAAATGAATGTACTTTCCAAAAAGAAGAAGAAAAATCATAAACACAGCAAACATGAAATGGTGAAAAAAATGTATCTTACAATGAATCAACGAATGTACTTTGAAGCACAGTGTAAATTAATGCCTAAGCATTGCTAAGAGCATTTTAAAAATCTTGTGTGTAAGTCTCAATTTAAACTCTCTATAGCTATACCTATATAAACCAACACGGTAATGTTAAGTATTAAAGGTCTACTCAAACATCTGGAGAGATTTACAGATATTTGATAGCTAAACCGTAAATTCTTTAAAATAAAACCTTATTTTAATTCTTATATTAGCTTACATAAAAAATCAGAGAAACCACATCACAATGAAACATTTGAAACTATAAAGTTAATTAGGCTATAAATAGACAAAATAACATGGAATATAAAGTTCAACGGGCTACATAACACAAATATAAAATACTTTAAGAACAAACCTGCTGAGATATCTGAGGATGATCAGGTTGTATAAGTTTGTGGAATAAAAGCCTAGCAGCATTCATATCAACCCCTGAAAATTTGGTGCCTGTTCTATAGTGATCATCATTGCTATAAAAGAAAAAAACAGAAAAAGAAGAGAGAGAGAAGGAAAATAATAAAGCCTTAAAGTTATTTCACTTATTTAATATATTACTTAATACAATAGATTTTAAAAATTCCGTATACCAAAGAATTACCACTTACCTAACAGCTAGAAAACTTCCATTTAGACAACCAGAGGAAGAAAACGTTCCATCTATTTCACTAAAAAGAGAGTTAAAAATCCCCAAATCACAAAATGAGAAATCTACTGTTCACTTTTTTTAATCAAAATATTTAATATAATATTTAATGCCACAGATCACTCCTCTAACCAATACTCAACCAGTATAAATCAAAATTTTATAAATTACTAAATTACTAAGGATTAAAGTAATACAGCTTACCCTAGACTTTCTCAAATTCATCAGACAAATCCTATGTTCGTTCTTTCTTTTTTTTTTAAAGCCTACAGCACCCGGTATTCCCAGGCGGTCTCCCATCCAAGTACTAACCAGGCCCGACCCTGCTTAGCTTCCGAAATCAAATGAGATCAGGGGCATTCAGGGTGGTATGACCACAGACACAAATCTGATGTTGTTAAAAAAATTTTTTTTTACATAAACATATACATTTAATTTTCTTAACTACACATGATGGTAAATCTAATGAAGGATGTTATTTTTTTTGAAGTCCACTCTTCGGCTTTTACGAAAAATTTTAATTTGGGAAAACAATCTATCATTAAAAAACAGCTTCTCGGATACAGTCCCTCATCCCCAAAACCAATGCTACCTGCAGTAACAGAAAACTCTAACTACTAAACAAGTTCATCTATAAGCAAAATATTCAAGAAAGATTTAATACTTAAGTCTTTTAGGGAGTATAAAAGTTAAAAGACAGTGAACACTAGGAAGCTAGAAGTAACATTATTTTAAACCCAATCCTAAAGTCATTGTGTTTAATATTTTAAGTTATCATTTAATATTATGGATATGAAAGAATTACAACATATATAAATTCAAATGAGATCTCTTAAAATATCCATTATTATAGAAATTCTAGACATTTAAACTTATGATTTTTTTTTTTTGGTGAGTGATATTAATAAAATATTTATTAAAATAAAAACTTCTAAGTACCAGATAGCACTACCATGGAGGTAAAAGGTTGTGTTTGTGTTGTGTAGGTAAAATGTTTTTCTTACTTGGCTATCTCCACAGGCAACCTTCCAGAGGGGTAGCTCAGCCATTTTTGAATTAGAGCTTCATTCAGAGTCCAGATCTGCTTTGAAGGATCAGGACATCTAAAGTCATCTGGTGGTCCACAGTTCTAAATTTAAAATAAGTAGATTAGCCAGAGAGAAGATATATATGTAACTTATACCAAGACATGTTTCCACTATGTATTTAGGTTTTTTTTAACAGAGTATATCTCTACTAAATACCTGAAACAATACTTATCAACTAGATCAGAAAAATTCTGTAGACTTGGGGGCAAAAAAATTTAAGGCAATTACTTTGTAACATACAAAGAACATTAATTAATATGGGCTTTAAAAATTCTTCAAAGTTATTTGAGCTCAGTAATTATTTGTATGACTACTATTACCTGGCGATTAGAATAATGTGAAAAGCTTTGATCTCCCCCTGAGAAAATTCTTTTCACACAGAAATATTCTTCAGAATCTGTAATAAAAATAAGATGTAAATAAATTTAAGATTTATATGACATTTTCAGAGCATCAAATATGCTACTGGATTTTCTCTTAATAATCTAACTCAATTAAACCTCCCATTCAGCATTCAATGATATAAAATGACTTGGAATATTTTGATTACTATGGAAATGAGATTGACCAAGTGACACACATTGAATAATTCCATAAGCATAAACAGCACTTGGTAAGTTTGCCAAGTCTTTCTTCTGGCTTACACAAAAAGGTGCTGTTTTCTAGTCTATGTCTTTTTTATTTCAATATATTTTACTTTAAACTGAAGATGATGTAAAAGTGAATGAAGCGTATAAAAGAGAGCTCAGAAGAAAATAAAGAATATTCATTTTTTTAAAAGAATGGTAACAAATGTTAAAACTTCTTGAGTAAAATACTTGATAATGCAAAATTATTTTCATTTAATATAGCTGTACAAAAATAAGATGACACACACAGCTCTTCATTGGCAACTATTTTATCAATAAAACCCAAATCCACTGCCTGGGTGGCACAGTCAGTTAAGCTCCAACTCTAGGTTTCAGTTCAGGTTGTGATCTCGAGCCCTATGTCAGGCTCTGTGCTCTGCTCTCAGTGGGAGTCTTCTTAAGACTCTCCCTCTGCACCTCCCCCCAACCCCCTTTCTCTCAAAAAAAGAAACCTTAAAAAAAAAAAAATCCAGTTCAAAAAAATTAATAAGCAAATTTAGTAGCAGTAAAATTAAGTTCTTTTTCAAAAAGATATTTGATGCCTCTTCCTTTCTTTTTTTTTTGCTTCTCAAAATGGAAAGAGTATTATCAAAAGTACTGCGGGGAGTGGGGGAGAGTACTGCTTGGCGAGTACTTAGAGGTATCACATACCAAAACATTAAAGCCCAATACTGTAACCTAAGGCTCATAATTTCCAAATATAATACATTTCTGTCATCCTACTCCTGACCCCCACACCACCCTTTAGTTTACTAGTTCTTTACCTTGTATTATTTGTGACCATGGCTGCTACAGAATTATACGTTCTTAAGGAAGGACCACATCTTAATTTCCTTGATTATTCCTTACTACCAAGCACAATGTTTTATTTGCAAAAGAACTCATTAAATATTCGTTAACATCAATATATAATATGAAGTAATATTTACCTAGCTTAGAACATACTAAAAACCTCAGAATTCAGAACATTAACATGACTAAATTTTTCACAAGTACCAAGAATGCTCTAGATCAAAAATAACTTTTAAGAACAGATTAATGGGTAAATCTAAAATATTAAATAATGATTCCACTTAAAATCTTTTCTCTACATCATTTTCACAAATCTAAATGAAATTGTTCGCTTCCTTAAAAGATTTAGCAGGATGTTATTCATTTATCCCTAAAATGTGATTCTGCTCTCTATAAATAATCAAGAAGGATGAGTACAGCACATGAATAGGTTTCTTGGGAATATGAGGAAGGTACCAAAAATTGTTTTTCTTAATTTCCTTTTAATCCTACTCCAAAAAGTTTACATAATCTAGTTATCTGTCTTACACAGCTTCTTGCAGACTGAATTTTGCTAATTGTATCCTTAAGGTTTCTCCTCACATTTTTCTTGGTCTTCTGTACTTCCTGTAAATTGGTCGTTGGATCTAGAAAGGCTTTAATTAGGCTGGTCCGAGTGCAGTGGTGTTTACAATTAGAAAGGCTTTAATTAAAGTCTGATAGTTTCAACAAAACTATTACAAGGTGGTAGTGGGGGCTGTTCTTCTATCAGGAAGCACATAACGTGTGGCTGGGTTCCTTTCTGCAATGTTAGGAACCACTGACGCTCAGTGCTTAGACTATTAATTCATTGTGGGTTGAAAAATGATGATATGCGAACATTACTTCCTCATCTTGTAGCTGGCCCATTAGCTTCCCAAACTACAGAGTTTGTTACCCTGTAATAGGAAAAAATTAACTCTTGATCTTTTCCATTTATTTGCTCTTCTCTTGCCTTTTAAACTTGTATTTCTTTGATACTAAAGAGGATAATAATTTTTCTTTCTTTTTAAAAATATTTTATTTATTTGACACAGAGAGAGAGCACAAGCAGGTAAAGCAGCAGGCAGAGGGAGAGGGAGAAGCAGGCTCTCCGCTGGGGCTCGATCCCAGAACCCTGGGATCATGACCTGAGCCAAAGGCAGACACTTAACCGACTGAGCCACCCAGGCGCCCCAATAATAATTTTTCTTAAAGATTTATTTATTTATTTTAGAGAAAAAGAGAGTGCATGAGCAGGAGGAGGGGGAGAGAATCTCAGCAGACTCCCCGCCGAGTGTGGGGCCTCACACGGGGCTGATCTCACAACCCCGAGATCATGACCTGAGCCAAAATCAAGACTGACTGAGCCACCCAGGTGCTCCAAGAGGGTAATAATTTTTGCATGAGTTTTAGTAACATGAATTTCCTCTTTGAGCATTTCCATTAATTTCCTTTAACTATTAAGTGTGTTAATGTTTGTCTAATTTATTTATTAGGTGTCTCCCTGTTTTTCTCACCAATATGTATGAGCACTCTGGATATTCAGGCTAATTAATCCTAGGCTGTATTTGCTACAATTTTTCTTAAATATTTAATTTTGACTCACAGAAGATTTGTTTTTCCATTTAATCAAATGTATTTATCTCTTCCTTTATAAAGACTTTCGTTGCCATAATGCTGAGAAAGGCTTTCCCATTTCGTGTGTGTGTGTGTGTGTGTTTTTAAAGTAATCTCTCCACCCAACGTGGGGCTCCAACTCACAACCTCGATACCAAGAGTCACGTGCTCTTTCGACTGAGGCAGCCAGGAGCCCCAAGGCTTTTCCCATGTTTGAATCAGAGAATTATTTTCTTAAGAACTTTTAAACATTTAATTCTTTAATCCTTTATACCTTAGTGTTATAAACTATTAGGTTATATATATAACTCAGGTTAGGATCTAAACTGACCTTTTCTCCCCAATTTTCATGTGCTGAGTAATTCTCCCTTCTCAGATTAGTGATGCCTTGTTTTAAAGTTATGAAAAGGCACTACCTCTTCCACCTATAACCACAATGCTAAAAAATACTGACACTCTACCAAAATGCTCTCTCAAAGTCCTTGAGAATATATATCTCCAAGAACAATTACCAAGGAACTAGAGTTTGAATTTGAAATAAAACTTATATACAATGTAAGTTATATATACACCTTATAAAATATTATATTCTTATATAAAGTATAACATACCTTATATAGGGTGTGTGTATATATATATACACATATATATACACACTTATATAGAGTATAATATAAATATTATATACAATACCTACATGGAATTCCCCTTCCTCCGACCTTCCATTAAATTCTAATGATCTGAATATCTATGTATATACCAATAATCTGATTTGTTATAGTTTTATATAGTACATATTGTCATATCTAGGAGGGCTATTTCACATTCTCCTTGCTCTTTACAAAATACTTTTTACATTGTAAGAAAAAATTGTGAAGACTTTGAAACAGGGCTCCCTGCCTACCAATACTAAGCCCTGATTAAAGCATCCTTCAGGAATTGCTGAAAGGTGTTACTGAGCTACTTACTATTCTGTAAATTGTACTTCTATTTAGGAGCAGTACTGACAGAGATACAACAATGTACGTGTTCTTTTTTTTTTTTTTTTTAAGATTTTAGGGACTCCTGGGTGGCTCAGTCAATTAAGCGTCTGCCTTCGTCTCAGGTCATGACCCTGGGGTCCTGGGATCGAGTCCCACATCGGGCTCCTTGCTCGGCGGGGAGTCTGCTTCTCCCTCTGCCTGCCGCTCCCCCTGCTTGTGCTCTCTCTCAATAAATAAAATCTTTTTTTATAAAGATTTTATTTATTTGCCAGA